CTTCAGTCGCCTGCGACCTCCCCAGTTAACCAGGACTTCTGGTAGATGATGGAAAGAGGCTTGGTGAGCACATCCGCCCACTCTTTCGGTACTCTTGGCTGCAGCCCCTTCAGCCGCCTACACTAAGTGGTGTAGTAGGTCACTGACCACTTCCTGTAATTGTGAAGGCCACATTCTGCCCCCCTCCCTGTCTTCCAGCTCAAGGGGCTGGGTGTCTAGGGAACAACTAATACTAAAGACTGAGGCAAAGACAGCATAGGGCACCTCAGCTTTTTTCTCATCCTTTGTCACTGTGTTTCCCCCTCTGTCTAGTAAAGGAACCTTAGCCCTCCTTTTGTTGATGTATTTGTAGAAACATTTTTTATTGTCCTTAACAGTTGTAGGTAGTTTAAGTTCTAATTGGGCTTTGGCTCTCTTAATTTGCTCCCTGCATAGACCCATTACTTCATATAGTCCTTATGAGAGACCTGCCCCCTTTTCCAAAGGTCATAAATTCTCCTTTTGTTCCCGAGGTCATGCCAAAGGTCCCTATTCAGCCAGGACCATCTTCTTCCCTGCCAACTTGGTTTTTGGCACACGGGGACAGCCTGCTCCTGTGCCTTTAAGACTTCCTCTTTGAAGTATGTCCAGCCTTCCTGGACACCTTTACCCTTCAGGGCTGCCTCCCATGTGACTTTGTCAATCAGTCTCCTGAACTGGCCAAAGTCAGCCCTCCAGAAGTCCAAGACAGCAGTTTTACTGACCCCCCTCCTTACTTCCCCAAGGATTGAAAGCTCAATCATTTCATGATCGCTATGCCCTAGACGGCCTCCAACCTTTTCTTCCCCCAGGAGATCATCTCGGTTCACAAGGAGCAGGTCCTGGAGGGCTCCTTCCCTGGTTGGCTCCCTTACCAGTCGTGTCAGGAATTTTGTGTGGCTTTTCTCTCTTTTGCTTTGCTCTATGTGATATCAGAAGGGGTAAGAACAGAAAGGGAAGAATGAAGTGCTCCGTACAATCCCCAGTCTCCAAAATGTAAATTTTAGATGTACGTCTGTAAATGTAAATGAACACGTTCTACTTACAGTATTTTATCTGAGAATCTCAAAGCACTTTTAAAGCTGCTAACGCTGCCTCACAAACACTTGTAAAGTAGGGCAATATTATTCTCCCTACCCTGCCTCTTTTTATAAGCTGATACGGAAATGGGAGGAATAGGTCAAAGCTTTGGATGACTACAAGGGGCGATGGCTTAACAAGCTGAAGATCATTCTCTTACCTGTTTCTTGGTTGTCCTCAGCCTGAGGAGCAAGACTTTTTTCCTTCTCTGTTTAATTGTGCAGAGGTGTCCATCACAGCATGGAAACCTTCAAGGTGTAATGTTGTTCTTTCTTTTGTATCTGTGCTAGTTAAAATGGCAATCTTCAACATTTTGTTGAAGAAAGCTTCTGATTTTCAAAAAGCATTGTTTAGCAGTCATCATACCTCTTCTTAGAAGTGGGTATTTACAGTACCCTGGAGAGTTGTGATGAGAACTCACCTCTGTGTTGTCTGGATAAGGAATCCAGACCCTTGCATTAGATGCCTGGAGGTAGATGGCATAAATGTTCCTTACAAAGGATTTAAAAATGCTCTTACTTCTGAGGCTTTATTTCTTTAATTGTTCTGTTGCATCTAGCACCACTATGGTTTCCTGAATAACAGGAAACATTGATTGATGGTGTTAAGTTTATAGTTATTGTTAATTAAAATTTTCTCGCTGTGCTGTGGGTCAAATGCTTGTTGGTCAGGTAGTGAAGGGATTTCAGTGTTCTGCTTGGCACAGGATTATCTTCAGGTTGGGTGTTTTAGGCAGGGGCTTCGGTCCGTGATGGCTGGCTTCCAGTGTCTTCTTTCTGCGTGCGCTTTATCACTTTCTCTAGTTGAGACTGATCTCCTGCAGAATACAGCCCAGAAATCTTAGTGATCCCTGTTCCTAGTATAACTGACTGCTCCAGCGCAATTGAAGCCCATATAAAAGATTTCCTTATATAAGAACTGGAAATGATAGTTTACCGCACCATCACTACTCTCACTACCTTATTTGCATCTTTCATTTCAATTTCATTAATTGCCTAATGATTCATCCAGTTATTCGTCTAATTCTCCTGTTAATAGCTGTAGCAGGCTTTGGTGATATCAAACAAGTTTAACATATCATCAACAATTAAGAGCTTTTTGCTTCTTATGTGATGAAGACATTAGCTGCCTGAATTTTATTGTTACTGCCCCTGTGAAACTTGACCTTAGCTTTGGAGCAGCACAGTTTCTGGTGCTTTTGCAGCTACATCAGTGGTACTGTTCCAGAATCCTGAAGTGAAATTACTGCCACAACTACAGCGCGACAGTTTTGTGATCAGTGTGATTTGGTAATCGGGTCTCACCTCTGCGTCCCTTTCACTTGTATTTGAAATACAGGTTTCACAGGGGTTGTGGAGAGGACAACGGAGTCAGGCCATCACCCTCCTTTCTGCACGTGATCTTAAGTACTTTGGATGTGCATGCGAATCCATGCAGTCTTGTTCTCAACTAAGTGTTTACAACCAGACACATCAGGCCTTCCTGGCATGCTACTCAAAAAAACCCCAAACCTCTTTGTGTGCTTTAGTGATGGATTTCAGACTCCTTTACTGCCTTTGTCAGAGGATAAACCGATGTATAGAAGGGAAGCAACATGCCTGACGTTGAGCCATAAGACCTGGGGTGAAGGCTTAGTTTTCTTTACTTCAGTCTTTTGCTCTGTCTGTTGAGCAACGCTGCTTGTAACAGTGGGCATCTGTGAGGGCTGTTTGTTTTACAGCATCTTGGTAATGTTTGCACATGGAGTTTGCTAGTGAATCATTGGCAAAAGTTCTTTTGCAGCAGGTTACTATAGTGACATCCCAGAGCAAAATGCTGGGTAGCATGAATGTACCTTCTTTCAACTCTCCTTTTGTTAAATGTGTCTGCAAATCTCCTGCCATCTGTGGTGTCAGAACTTTGTGCCGTTCTGATAAGCACCCCGAAACACTTTAATTCTTGTAAGAGCCAGGCAAAATAATAAGCAAAAGGAGAAGAAAACCTCATCAGACTTATTAATCTAAATGCGTTTATTTTTTTCTCTTCTCTTCTCTGCTTCTTTTGGGTTATATATGGGCTGCTCAGTGTACTGAAGGAACAAACTATTTACAGTGTTTCTGTGCTACTCAGCCTGCTAAGCTTTCTCTTTGGCAGAAAGACCCTGAATTTTACCATGAGGACCACCCTCAGAATGCTCTCCAAAGTTTTTCTTGAACTGGGCAAATACTGTCTTACCTCCTTATGCAATTTGTGTGTGGTCCTTGTAGGTCATTCACAGCAGAATCTATTTTGTCTCTATAGAAATGGGACTTTACCAAGCTCTGTATCTTGGTGCCTGCTCAGACCTTTTCAAATAAGAAGGATGACCTTCTGGCTTCCAGGACAGTGTAAAATTTCCAGTAGTGTTTGGGTTTGTTCTGGAGCTGCAAAGGCCAGTTATCTTCAGAAATCAGTCATTTGGAACTCCTTTGCTTTCAGGGGTCATTGCTGAGAACATGAAACCTCATATTGATGCCCCATTAGAAAGAAATTAATTTGGCCATATTCCCACAATGCTGTTTTTGCAGCGCTAGCCAGAGTGATAAGTGATAAATATTCTGGGTCACTGAAATCAATGTGGCTCCTGTGTTAGTGTGCAACTCATACGTAAGAAAATGCATTTTCAGAAAGCTGTTTTATAAAGCCCATTTTAAGATATTTCTGCTTGAATAAGTGGATTCTTAATCATGGGTTTATTAGTTGGAAATAAAAAAATATGCCCACTCTTTCAGTCTTCAGGTAAGAGAACATGGTGGGATGTAATTGGCACAAGTCTGCACCAAAGGCTGCTTCTGTAAGCTGAGCTCCCAACAGCACCTTGGAGTCTTTGTGTGTTTATAAGCTCCTGGTGTATTCTTCTTCTCTGAAACTTCTTGTGTGACTTCTCCCATCTTCCTCCATTCCCCAGAAGTCCTGTCTCGGCAATATCGATTCTCTGTCTGTGTTCCCTCCCATGCCAGGGATTTTCTGAATGCCTCATTTGCCTCCTCTTCCTCTGCAGAGGTTTTGTACTATTCCATCCTGCTCTCTATGCCAAGGTTTTGTTTGCCCTTCCATTCTTAGCTCCTGACAGTAGCTTTATTTTTTCCTGAGTCAACGTTTTTAAGAGTGTATAGGGATGAACTGAGGTGATTCAGATGGTTTTATATTAGAATGTATTAGTGATAGCCATCAATGCATTTCTTGCTCTACAGATGTTAGGCTTTCAGAACTTTTTTGCATTTAGTAGAAACCTAAAAGCATTCTGTTGGAAGCCCAGACCATAGTTAAGATTTGTCAGGAGGCTCATATTCACGACAATCTCTATGTATACACTACATCCAAAGATTTTGTTTAATGTGTTGGGTGTGCTTGTGCAAATTGTGGCTGCATGATGCAAGCCTTTGCAGTAAGACAATGTGAAACTATTTATGACTGCAGTCTAGGGTTATGTTTCCCTGAATAAGACAAAGGTTGCCCTTTCTCTGCCTACCTCTCCTGCTCTGTCTCTCGGCCTTATTTTTGGAGATTTAAGTAAAATATCCCTCATGCTAAGGACTGAGAAGGATCTGTAGGTGAGATCTTTTTGTCACCTAGATTAGAATGTCTGGAATAGTAAGATAACTGCCTGGCCTCACTGGTTTATTTGTTTTAAATGGTTTTGGACTCTTGAAAATGGCATCTAACCATAATTATAGTTATTTTTGTTATCAGTGTTACTTAAATATTGTCGGAGATAGTATGTTCATGGAAGTCAGACTGCTGGTAAGTATAGCTTGTTCTGGGAGCCACACGATGAATGAGATTTAAATCTTCAAACGTTTTGGGCCATACTTTTTTAAAAGTCAAGTAGGAGATTGCATGCCTCGATTAATGTTTGTCCTCCTTTTGCTTTGTGTTTTAAGTAACAAGCCAAACCCCAACCAGATCAATGTAAATAATGTCAAACCAGGCGTGGTAAATGGTACTGGAGTACAGGCACAGAACACGGGAGCAGGACGGGCCTGTGAAAGCTGTTATAGTAAGTGACATGCCAGTATGGCAGCTGTGCATAGAGAGTGGGAGTGCTGTGTTGGAAACAGTAAAGTAAAAGCTGTGTTGTCGTGGGGGGTGGGAGGGGTGGCTGTGGAAGGGTGAGGGGACAGAATTTGATGTAGCAGCATTTAAGCAAGGGTTTTTTTTTGAGTTATTGGTGTTACGTTTGGAAATAGAATTATGAAGTACTAATGGGGGAGTTAGTATATGTCCTATGTAATTGCGGGTAGCTATTGAGCAAAGACTTAAACCACCAAGGTGTGAATTTGGCAGTTTTTTCATAATTTATTAGTAGATTTCAAAACATGGGATACCACTGTATTTGGTGTGCTGCCTGATAGTAATGTACTGAGTTGTAATGATTGTGCTCCTTTATGGGAAGCCTTTAGAGATGCCGCAGTGTAGGACTGTACAAGAAGTCAAGTCAGATTTTGTACATTTCTTTAGTCGTAGAATTAATGTATGGGGAATTCCTGAAGAGAATCTTCCTTCTATCTCATGCTCCGCAGAAATCGTCTACCAGTCTTGCAAAATGAAAACTTTTAGTTTAACTGGCAGGAAATTTTTCCATCCTACTAGCTGGTTTTTGATGTTCACGTTTTAAAAGGGGTTTATATGTGTAATTAATCACAAGTGCATTTAACAGTCATGATGCCAGTGAATCCATCATCAGTTTTTTAAGATCTCTCTGAGCTTTGCAATGTCTTTATGTGGGTTTTCTTTTGTGATGGTTCTAAAGAGAATAAGCTCTGAAGTGTGATCCTGTTTAAGGATATATATAATTTCCACCTTTGTTATCTCTAGCCACACAGTCTTACCAGTGGTATTCTTGGGGTCCCCCTAACATGCAGTGTCGCCTCTGTGCATCCTGTTGGACGTACTGGAAGAAATACGGTGGCTTGAAAATGCCAACACGGTTAGATGGGGAGAGACCAGGACCAAACCGCAATAATTTGGTAGGTACCTGCAAAGCAGACTACTCGGTGCTCTGGAAAGCTGATGCCATGATACCTAACTAGTTGTTCACTGTTCTTAAATATTTAACAACAAAAAGAATGCCTTCAGCCCCCATTGTTGTCCCTGGGTTTGGTATTTCATGTCTTGCGGAAGTTGGCATCTTAACTTCGGCGAGAACTAATTTGTTACCAAGTTCTGCCCTGACAAAAAAAAACATCATTTGGTTAGCAAACTACCCATCAAATGCATGGGTTAACTTAATGAAGATGGAAGAAAATGAAATGCCAGCCAGTGTTCCTGGTATTCAGTTTCCATCGTCTTTGCTGTAGGGGGAAGAGGACTTTTTTTTCTGTAAAGGGATTCATTATTTCCTGAAACCTGTTGCCTTTCCCAAGGCACATTCAAAATTAGATACCCCAAATAGCTAGTGGCTTTTTAGAGATCACTTACCTTGTTTTTCTACTTAATCCTTCTTTTTTTTTTTAAGTTAATCCTCCTTCCTTTTGGATAGGTTTGAGTAGGCATTGTATGAGCTCTGTTTAATTTTTCCCCTTTTATTTAAAAACCAAAATTCTCAGAATTTTTCTGAATTCCTGGAAGCATCATACATTGAGCAGATTGGAAAAAGTAGCTGCATCCCATGGACAGAAGGATAGTGCACACTGAACTTTATTTTTAACTTAAATTAATTTCTTTCTTCTCTTCTAGTCTTTGCTATCATTCACTTTCTATTCTGTTTGTTTCATTTAACCTCTGTTCTTTCCAGGCTTCTGTTTGCCCTCTGTAGCTACCTAACTGCTGAGATAACTGCCAGGTTTTATCAGCCTTTTACCTCATTTGTTAGTTAAAAAGTATTTAAATACTCAGAGAGGGAAAAGCCTTGTTCTCCTCAAACTGAAATTTCCTCCTATTTTCCAACCATGGGCAGTTTTGAGATAACAAGATAACCTATTTCATTATTTTATTGGTTAACTTAGTTGCTTTTCATGAAGAAGACTCTGTTTTGGCTCTCTGTAGTCAATAAACGTCTTTCAGTAGTATTCTTTATTACTGTGATGCAGTGAATATTTGACAACTCTGTAAATGCATTAATTTAGTTCACAGTAAGAATTAAAACAAAAATTCTTGCAACTTTGAGACAAAAAACATACTTGCGTGCTGTAAGTTTGCTTTGGGAAGGGAGTTTGTGATGTATGTTTTAGCCATACAGCTTTCTGATTTTTCCTGCCCTTCTTACAAATGATTTGCTATAAGGAGTTTGCGTTGTATATCCAAAGCAACTCTAAGCACCCAAAATTGGAGAGTCTTTCTGTTGACTCTGTAAGCACCAAATCATGCGATAGCATCAGACAACTCCTTCAGGTCCGGCTTTTGGATCCTTGTTTTAAAACTTGGGACAGCACAGAAATAAATACTTCCCCTGTGAAGAGAAAATGTTTACCTTTGTTTTATCCTCTGAGATATTTTGGAGGAAAATTCCAAATATTGGTAGGTAAGATTTGGGAGACGGGGAATAGCTGGGCTGAAAATATTTTCATCTGTAATACTGTTTCTGTTCTTATGTCTGTGAATCAGTAGTTGAAAGTGATTTTATAGGGTATCCTTCCTCTTCTTTAAAACCATACTTTCTAATAATTATTTTTAGAAACCATATTTTTCTTTCTTTTTAGAGTCCTCATGGTGTGCCAGTACGAAACAGTGGGAGTCCCAAGTTTGCTATGAAGACACGACAAGCTTTCTATCTCCATACAACAAAACTGACAAGAATTGCCAGACGTTTATGTCGAGATATCTTGCGCCCGTGGCATGCTGCAAGACATCCCTATCTGCCTATTAACAGCGCGGCAATCAAAGCAGAATGTGAGTGTTGATGCAGCTGGGAACTAATTGCAAAGGAGCCCTTTGAGATTCCTTTCCTATAAAGTTTGAGTTGCAACTTCTTGAGATGCTCTTCTTGCATGTAGCTAGTGGTTTCACAAAACCTAGCTGTACTTGCAGAGCGTTCTAAAGTGAATGTAGGCTAGACGTATAAATTTGGTAATTTCGCTGTTAGTTTCGTGTTTGGATGTTTGCTGTTACATTTAGCATTCTCCTGCATTTGTGTCCTGTTGCCAAGACATGCTTACAACCTGCAAAATTTCTTTAGTTGGAAAGCTTTTTCAGGACACTGAAAAGGACTTAAAAAATTGAGTTATTAATTTAGTTTTTCTATAATATCTTTACCCTCTAATTATGTTTTTTTTCTTTTACAGGCACAGCACGTTTACCTGAGGCATCAGAAAACCCATTGCTATTAAAGCAAGTGGTTCGAAAGCCCTTAGAAGCAGTACTCCGGTATTTAGGTATTAAAAAAACCAAACACCACCAAACACGTAAACTCCCAACCAAAGAAAAAACCCTACTAGTTAATTCTGCTCATGATTTCTTTTTCCATTTGGTTCTGGATTTAGAAGCTGGTTCTGGATTAAAAAACAAAGCGTGAAAAGCTTCCCATGAGCTTGTCCTTTTTCCTTTTCCTACTTAATTTGAGACCTAGTGGCTCAGCAGTCCACTTGGGGCTCACGGAGCTGATTCAGAAACTTTTCCAGGTAAAGGGAGGGATGTGTTTGTTGTGGCTTTTTGCTGTATGTGGGTACAAGTTACCAGTTACCATCTAGTAATGGAGGCACAAACATAATGTTTTGGTAACAATTGGTCAGTCCACTGTTCCAATTTTTGGGCTGTCTGGAGGCGGTTCCTACAGTTGGGTCCTCTAAGAACCCTCTTGGGTTTAGGATAGCACTATGTCCCACAGCTTGTGAATCAGTTGCTGGCTGTTCTGTGCTGGAGCCAGACAAGGGGACTATACTTCCATTCTGCACTTTCTTTTGTTTTTTGGTTTTGTTTTCCTATGGTTTTCATGAGGACTTGAGCCTCATCAGCTGATCTGGGGGACTACTGAGTAGCTCCATCCAGGATCTTAGTGTAAGTTTTAGGTGCTGGAAGCATCTAAAGTGATGCTGCATGACATGCCAGCTCTGACTCCAAACGAATGCAAAATCATTTTCCCTAGTGTTGCTGGTTGCTAGAGATACCCTGAAGACATGTCTTGGGTTGTTACAGCAGCCTAACGTGAGTCTAACCACAGAAAGCTAGCTTGGACAGTGGTACTTTGAAGGCTTTCAGATTAACAAGGAAATTGATTGCTTTTTTACTCTGATAAGAAACACTGGAGTTAATTTTATGTTTCTTTGAACATTTTTGTTGATGAAACACTGTAAGGCTCGGGGTTTATTAAATATTTACTGCTTCTCTGTGGAGTGCTGTACTTCTACTGTGTACTAATGAGATACACAGATTGAGGACACTTTGGATATGTAGAGTGCAACGGAAGAAGGCCAGTAAAGGGAGAAGATTTGCTATTGGATAAAATCCTGCTTTTAATAGTTGTACAGAATGTAGCAGTAGACTTTGGGATTTCATTAGCGTTGTGTCAGGGTCTCCATTTGACTATTGAGCTGGGAGAAGGGACTGAAAGAAATGGAGGGAGGCACATGAACTGGCGAGAATGTATTTTTGGAGGTGTTGTGCTCAGTGTGCTTTAAATTATATGTTACTCCTCTGTTGGGGCTGTGAGAGAAAGACTTGGTTGAAGCTCCTGTTTGCTGTTGCTTGAAACTTTCTCAAAATCTTTTCAGTTGAACGGCGTGTGTTTGATCTCTGCCTTGGCCAAAAGTTTGGATTCAGACTCTGTGTGTTCTTTATGGCTGTGCCTTGAATCCTCACTTTTTTGGCTAGTTCAGAAATTGTATTTTTTAGAAACCTTGCAAAACTGGAAAAGTTGTAATTTCCCCAGAGTGTAGGGGTGTTGTATGAGTGTACAAAGATGGCCTTTAAAATAGAGCACCCCCAAAATGAACACAAATTGTTGGAGAGTGGTGTTTTGGAAATAGATACAAAGTGCTTTTATTATCAATTCTTATTTTAGGATAGTATTACAACACTGGTTTTAACATCTCCAGTAGAGGTGAATTCCTAAATATGCTTAAAATGCTTTATATATAAATAGCAATCTCCAGTCAAAATTATTGACTGAGGTAGCTTGTATATAAGGGGAGGTATACTTGGTCACCTTGGAAGTTTGCAGGTTGTTTTCAGATTTATAATTCCAGTATCTTCACTGATAAAAACCCCCACCTTGCTGTTTTACAACAGAGTCTCATCCATGTCCTCCGAAACCAGATCCTGCGAAGAGCTTGTCCAGTTCTCTCAACAATCTGACTCCTGCTAAGTTTACGCCTGTCATTAATAATGGGTCCCCAACTATCCTGGGAAAAAGAAGTTATGAACAGCACAATGGAATGGATGGTAAATACTTTTCTGCAGAATGTGTATTGTCTATGTAGGCTTTTTCTTCCGTCCTTTCGGTATACAAGGAGATTATTTAAAACTACAGTCCTTTATATAAATTCCAAGTTTCTTATTCTTGAGGGAGGTTAACCTCAATAGCTTTTTCCAGTGATGTTTCCTATTTCTTTTGAGGTTTACAGCTTTTTAACCTGTAGGCAGTAGCTGTGTGATTCCCAGGTGGCTCTGTAACATGTGGATCACCTGGCTTTCAGCAAAGCTACCAGAGGCTGCATGCCATTGAGAAAGGCAGACTGCTGCTTAGCTGAGGGAGGGAGGCAGACATGCCAGATCTGGCATGACATAAACCTGCTCCTGCCTTGTGCGGAACCAGAGCATTCGCTTTTGTTGGCCCTGTCACTGAGCGCCTCTCTGCAGTGGAGTTTAGGCTTCATCTCCTCAAGAATAAAAGGCAAGTGGGAGATAGACGCAGGATGTTCCTAGCACGGACTCCGGGGCTCTGTTCTGAAGAGGTGCTCTTGCCTGAGAGTGTCAGGGAAGAGAAACTGCAGTCTTTTTCTCAGATGAGGATAAAAGGGTCTGTTCAAATGGTCTTAACAGGAGTGAGAACATGAAGGGTAGCTCTCCTTAACAGAGGAAAGAAACAGTTGGATTAATGGTGACTCTGAGCAGGGAGGGAGATACAGAGAATCTTTCTCATTTTTTACGTTTAATTTTAACTTTATGTCTGCCTTATCTGAACTATAGTTACAACCATTTGCTATCTTATTGTTTGTGTTTTAACGTTAAGAACATTTTAAACTGCTGCTGTTCAGGTTGCTGATGTGATGTTTTTCTCTTTTCTATTCACTTGTGCTCTGTCAGGCAACATGAAGAAGCGCCTGTTGATGCCTAGCAGGGGTAAGACCTTGAAGCTGCGCTCAGCTTATGCTAGGAGAGTGATTTTTAGTTTCTTCTGCTGGCTTGTCTGTGCTTTGTGGCTAATGAGTCTGTGTGCACCTTCTGTGTTGATGTCTAAGTGTTCCTTGGGTAACCATTTCCACTCATGGTTATGCTGCTCACCTTCCAGGCTTTTCACATGCAGATGACAAGTCATACAACTGTGCTGAAGACATGAAGTGCTATGTTAAGAATTGATTACTAATTCCTCAAGTTGACAGAACAGTTTTCTAGCAGTTTTGTGATACTGCTGGAAGCTGTGATGGTTGGTTTGAAACTAGGTGTTGTTTCACTGTTTGACTTCTAAGAAATCAAAGTTTCATGCATCCTGAACTGCTTTAAATTCGCTTTGACCAAAAGAAATAGAAGACAGTGTTCACACTGAGTCACAAATCCAAGCCTCTCTGTTTTCCACTGTGAGTGGACAGTCTCACCAGTGAGACACACTTGTCTGCACGTTCTCTACTTGCAGTAGAAATGGTTTTCAAATTTTCCACAGGTTAAAAGTTAATCTGTTCGAACTGCTGAATAGACCTCAGAAGCTTTAGTTTGTGATAATGCAGGAAACTTACAGATGATGTCATTTAACCAAATTCAATAGAATAGACCGATTTTGGATATGGTAAGGATATACAAATGTCATCATGAGACAGGCAAACATAAAAACTTAGGCTTATGTGTTACCATGAAATGGCTGACACTGCATGCCCTGATGTTAAGCTTTGTGTTGAATGGCTGAGGCAGTGGATGACTCTTATCAGTCTTTACATGCATGAATATATAAGTGCATGTGGAGAATACAGTAAGAATGAAGACAATGATTATTCTACTGTCTTGGTCTCTTTGGGAATTTATGCCTTGATATTGTGTTGTTGAGTTTTTAATGTGCTTTTTAACTTTTGTGTTTTGGGAAGAATAACAAAACCCTGCTGCCTTGGTCAGTTTGGCTTCCTTGGAAGCTTTGTCCAGCAATGAGGGATGTAGATGCAGAGTAGCTCACTGAATTCCACAGCTCCTAGTGACTACCTGCTTATGGGCATGCCTGCTGCTCCCTGCTAAATGTCCTCATCAGCAAGGGCACAAACTGGGACACAAGAAGTTACATCTGATCATGAGGAGAAACTTCTTTGAGGGTGGCAGAGCACTGGAACAGGCTGCCCAGGGAGGTTGTGGAGTGTCCTTCTCTGCAAATACTCAAAACCCGCCTGGACGCGATCCTGTGTGATCTGCTCTGGGTGATCCTGCTTTAGCAGGGTGATTGGACTAGGTGATCTCCAGAGGTCCCTTCCAATGCCTGCCATTCTGTGCTTCTGTGAGTCACTCGGCAGATTACACCCTTCTGAAACTGAGATGTTGTGGCCCAAAGGAGGGAAGTAGAAGAAAAACTGATCCTTCCCTCTGCGTAGAGCACTAGATTTTATAACCTCAGACCATTTACTTACTGGAAATGGAGGATTCTTGTTTCAGTGTTTTAAAATGTCTGTCTGCTGGTATACATATTTTATTAGATACATTTCAGTCATAGTTGTTACTGGAGCAGTTTGCAAAAAGAAGATTTTGGTGAAGTACCTGTTCAGGCTCCTCAGAACACGTGTTTCTCTGAAGCATACGTGCGTAGTTGTGCAGGGGCTGCTCTCACCAAGTGCCTGCTGTCTTATCTGCTCTGTCCGTTCTCAGCCAGCCACTGAAATACTTGGAGTAGTATTTGTTCCTAGACTGCTAGGTAGCAAGGTAAAATTCAGTCCCAGAACCTGTTTACTTGCTGAGGTAGCGAGTGGTAACTGCATATTTTTCTGAGCAATTCAGCTTAAACTTGTTGGTTGAGATTTATTTGTGAATGGAAAATGTTTGCCATGCTGCAATTTTGACATCTGTAATATTTTTCTGAGCCTGGGTTACTGGAGGCTTTGTGGAGACAGAGAGGGAAGGGAACAACCTGCAAGGAAATGCAGTTCAAAAAACTTGGATCAAGATCTGCTGGGCACAGGGAAACAGGGTGGTGGTTTGGTGGATCTGTTTCTGGCCTGGAGCTAGTTTGTGTGCCTGTGCCTCTTAGCACTGGTTCCCAGTTGCCTTGTGTGTGAGCTGGTAAGCTTTGCTGGCTCTGGGCATGGCTAATGCCAGTTTCCTGTGCCATGCCAGAACTGGGAACATGGTGCTGAGACTTTTCCTTGGCTCTGGATAGAGTTATACAGGCTTACTAGTTTGGGAGGGCTGCTGGGGGGAAGGGAGAGGAGGAGGTCAGAGGAGAGGAAGAGCACAAGTTGGAACTGTTGTGAAGAAGGGGTGAATGGCAGTGAGAGTGATGAAGCCTTGTGACCAGAACTGAGGAGCCAATGAGTTAGTACAAAAGGACTGAAATAAAACCATTTGTCCAGAATGACTGATTCTTGGATTATAACTGACCTAAAATAGAAGAAAAAGATTAATGAGAGTAAAACTGAGTCGTTACAGCCAGTCAGGTTCTTCATTTGCATAGCTCCTACGGGGAATTGTGGGGGTTCTTTGTGGTTTTTACGTTTTTCCTCTCCCCTTAGTGGTACATGGTGGCATACTGGCTGGTTTAGGTCATCATAGGAGTGTACTGCAAAAAAAAACCTGTCGTTAAGATAGCCGCACGGCACGGAGAGACTGAAAATACTCTTTCTGCACCAAGTGAGGTGCGGGAAGACACTTTGCCCACCTATGTTGAAGTAGTTTTCAAGGAGATGTTAACCTGCTGCAATGTTCTATGACTTACCCAGGGTTTTTTCTGCTTCCTGAAAAATGTGCTGTGTCGTTGGCACCGGGAAGATACCTTAGGATTTGGACAGGTCACTGTGTCAAAGTCTCTGATATATGGCAGTGGAGAGCTGTTATGGAGAGCTTTAGTTGAGGTCTCTTTGCTGGTAATAAAAGCCTTTTGGTGCCAGGTTATTACTTCCAAACTCATGGGAGAAGTACGTATACTGAAAATTATGGCTGGTTGCTGAGCTGATTGCATGTAATGAGTTTGTAAGGCTTTCCTCATAGCCAGATTGTAAAGCAATATAAAATCAAGAGAATGCTTTGCAAGGAATGAGCCAAGTAGCAGCTTATATTTTTGCTTAGTGTGAATCATGAAGATCCATGTTTAGACCTATATATTGGTGGTCAGGTAAGACATTTAAATTCCCATGGCTCCTGCAGCCTTCATTTAGAATTAGGCTGTTTAACATTGCTGAAAATTGAACCGTTTGTGTAGGTTTTTGGGTGTTCCTTCAGGCTTCCATCTCAGTCTCTACCACCCCTTGGTATTTAGGGTGATGGTTGGTCAGTGGTGAGAATTCAGCCCTCAGAGAAGTTCATTCAGTGAAGTGCCTTGATGAACATTCCTGTATAAATGGAAACACCATTCCTAAATGTGGCCAAACGACAACTGAGGCTGGAGGGGTTGGAGGTGGAAGACCACCCAGTTTATGGGCGGATGCGGGTTGGTGAGGTTGAACTCTGTGTGAAGAGAGATTGTAATGGGAAGTAAGGAAAGGATGGGAAAAAGAGAAACCTTGGGGTGAGAGATCAAGGAGGAAAAGGAGACTGTTGTTAATGGGCTGTGGCCAGAACTAGTTAAAACTAATTATGGAAGTGTTGGAAATTGCTGAACTTAGAAGAATAGTTCAGATTTTCCTTTGGAATTTTATTGTTTTGTTATTTTTTTCTCTTGCTACTGTAACTCCAGCTAAGTGTCTTTAATTGTTCTTTTTCTGACTCATCTCTGTTTTAACCCTAGAGAGCTGAACTTTTTCAGGCTTTGAATATGATTTGTCAGGCCAGGCATCTAGAGTTCCGACTGGTGCTTGAATTCCAAGAATAGGAGAATATTCTTAATCTCCTCTTTCCTCACTACCTCCACTCTGTTTTCTAAGAAGGGTGTAGTCCTTTCATCTATTTTGTTTTGCTCTTCTTTAAATTGCTTTGGAGGCATCGTTAGGCATACAGTGCCCTTCCCAGCTCTCCTTCAACACTAGATTAGCATGAATAAATTGCTGCAGAATCCTATTTTTGGAGCATGAAAAGTACATGGAGTCTCTTAAGCTGTCGAATGCAGTGAGTTGTTAAAAAATTATTAGTGTATATTGCTTTTTTGTTAATGTTCTGGAGCTTGCCTGACAATACTTGCCTGAAAATTCCTCTAGAGAGATAGGATGTTTTGTGTTCTGGACCCTGTTTACCTTTTTCTTACAGCTCTCCAGCATGGGGTCTATGTGATCCTTGTCTATGCAAATTCATGCTGGGGGAAGGGAGGGAGCATTGTTAGATTTTTTTTTTTTTTTCCCTCTCTCTTTTACACCATGTTAGCTTTCATCTAATCAAATTTGTTTTTTAGGGTCATCACATGCGCTCTAAAATTGGCAGAAAGAGAGAGAACATGAATGAGTAGCTGAAATAAAGGGAAGGCTTTTCCCAGCAACAAACTTGCATTGATAAAATGGTAGCGGATCGAATGCTGAAAATTGGAGAGGGTTTATAGAAGAGCCATGAAAACGGTGAAGTGACTGGAAAACACACTGTATAATGGAAAATGCTTTTATCAAAGTGGAAGTTGTAGATGTTTGTCTCTGCTGACAGGAGCAGCAGAAGTGTAATAATAGAGGGCTTTTTAGTCTAGCTGGGAATGGAATAATGAGCTGCAGTAGCCAGAAGGTACAGCAGAAAAACTTTGGCTGGAAACAAGCTGCAAATTTTTGAGTGAGGTTAATTAACTCTTGGAATACCTTGCTTCTGCTACTGGGGATTTCTAAACCAAAATGGAATGTTAGTCTCATTTAACACGTTCTGGTTCACTGTTTCTCACCTTCTTTTGGGGAAATGTGAATGAACTCCTAGAACTGGAAGCATTCATCAGCCTAGTGTGGCATTAGTTTAATTATCAAGAGATGATCATGGAAGTGGAAATGCTGTTCTTGATCAAAAACAGCTGTCGAAATGGGAAACTAAGGAAG